CCTTTGAAGGCTGTAGAGGACAGGCCCCCTTGCCTCTTCTCAGCCTCCGGTGGTTGCTGGCAGTCCTTGGCATTCCTTGGCTTATAGATAACGTCACTCCAGTCTCTGCCTCCACGAGTACGTGAGGTTCTTCCTGTGTGTCTCTGTCCTGATTTTCCTCCTCTTATGAGGACACCAGTCTTTAGGTGAGAGCGCAGCCTAATCCCAGTATGACCTCACTTTAACTCGATTGCATCTGCCAAAACCCTGTTTCCAAACAAAGCCAAATTCACAGGTACCAAGAGTTAAGATTTGCACATAACTTTTGCGGAGACACAGTTCAACTCAGTACCATTTCCCTCTGGTCCCCCAAAATTTACCTTTTGGCCCATATGCAAAATATATTTACCCCCTCATCTGAGCATCCCCAAGAGTCAACCCATTCTGCATCAACTCAGAGTCCAAATCTCATCTAAATCAGGTGAGACTTGATGTGGTTTGGCCTGGGTCCAAATTTCTGTACCTGTGGATCCATGAAACCTAGAAAATAAGTCATCTGCTTCCCAAATTCAGTAGTGGGGCAGGCATAAAATAGATATTCCCATTCCAAAAGGGAGGCAGTGGAAGCAGTAAAGGGGTTACTAGTCCTGAGCAAGTCTGAAAACCCAGCAGGGCAAATTCCATTTAGTTTCAGAGCTTGAGAATAATCATCTGTGGCTAGCTCCTTTGGCCTCTGTAGGTGTGACTCAGCCCTCAGAGTCGTTCTTTATTTTGTCTCATCTCTGTTCCTTTCAGTTCAGGATGGCAGTGCTGCTGCTGGTAGGAAATTCTCAAAAATACTGTTGGTCTTTCAGTCATGCCAGGGGGGTTTCTGGTCAAATGCGTGGGCTCTGCTTCCTCAGCACTCTATCTGAATAATCTAAGACTTGCTCACATCTTCAGGTGCTGGGTTCTCCACCCCCCACCCCCATAAGCAATTCTTTCTTCAAACTCTTTTATCTTAATTTACCATAAGTAACTAGGAGAAAGAAACCGGGCCACACTTTTAACACTTTTTCCAAAATCTTGGAAATCTCAGCTGAGTATCCAAGTTCATCCTGTACAAATTCTGCTAATAAACCTAGCATAACACATTTCAGCAAACTTTCTGCCACTTTATAACAAGGATTGCCTTTCCTCCCGTTTCCTTTAACATGTTCTCATTTTCTTCTGAGATCTTACTTGGAGAATTTTTAGCATTCATTCATGCTTCTGCCAACATCGTTTATGATTATGTACGTATTCTCCACAACGATAGAAACTTTACCGTGTTCCTCATAATTGTCTGAGCCCTCACCAGAATTTCTACCAAATATCTCTTCAAGGCAGCTTGGCCTTTTCTGTTACGAGCCTCAGGATTCTTCTAAGCTCTACTCATTACACAATTCCAGAGACATTTCTGCATGTTTAGGTATTCGTTACAGTAGCACCCCATTCTTAGTATCAAAATCTGTGTTAGCTTCCTAGGACTGCCGTGGCAGTTTCCACAGCTGAGTGGCTTCAGACAAAGACTTTCAAGGGGACACACTTCAACATTGTACAGCATTTTATGAGGAGTTCACTCTCAGTGCCCAATAAAGAATGGTCAATAAATGGTAGCTAATACATTTGTTTTTAGAAACTCATTGTGTACAGGAAGACAACAAGACCATATTAGTATGTAGACACTTAGGTTGAATTAGGCGCACAGATTAGGTTGTTTGCTTTTGTTTTTTGTTTAAGATTTCATTTATCCATTTTTAGAGAGAGGGGGAGGGAGGGAAATACTGATTGGCCACTCCCCACATTCCACCATCAGTGAACTGGGCCCACAACCAGGTATGTGCCCTGACCAGGAATCGAACCAGTGGCCTTTAGGCTCACAGGCCAGTGTTCAACCCACTGAGCCACACCAGCTAGGGCTGCTTTTTGTTTTTCAACAAATTAATGCATGCCATGGATCCTCAGGGTCTAGCATATAGTATCAATTTTGAATATTACTTAAATGGGCTTTGTAAAGTAGGTACAGAAAGTGATTATGTTGAGTACATAAAACTTGTTTTAAAAGGAGATGCCAAGGACTCAGGACAAAGGTTTGTCCGGTGTTGCCCTTTGAAAAGTTTTATCTTTCTATCTTATAGTCCTGGCTGACTAGCTCGAGTCCCATCTTACCACTTTGGACCATAGTGACTTCATCTGTGAAATTACAGTGCAGATCTGCATGTCTCATGCGCTCTTCTCAGATAGTGGTTAAGAAATGGTAAATGACAGGAATGTTAGTGATGAATTGAAGGGATTCTTAGTTCTCTTAGCACATTCAGTGCAGAGCACGTCTTTTAGAATATCAGTAACAGTGGTATGTATAGACTACCTGTTCGTGTGTTTTTAACAAATTTTAGAATGATTTCAGATTTATGGGAAAGTTGTAACAATAATACAAAAAAATTTCAGTGTATTCTCCACCGAGATATTTCAAATATTATTTTCTCACAATTGCTTTATCATTTTTTCTCTCTTACCTGCTGTGTCTCCCTCTCCCCCTTATATTTATGAAAGCTAGTTGCAGGCATAATATCCCTTATAAATACATCAGTGTATTTTCCTAAAAATAAGGACTTTTTACAAATATAGCAATTATCAGGGGGGGGGGCTGAGGAAATTGACAATAATACAGTACTATCAAGTGACCTCAGTACTTTTGAAGATTACAGACCATTTGTTTTGCAGAATGTCCCTCAATCTCAAATAGATTTTGGATGACATGCTTTTATTGTTTAGAAAACCAAATGAAGAATGTCTACTATATATTACAAATTGGGTTTTAAATGTTTCTCATTTTGTAATGACAGGGAGATATCCTGCCCTGAGCGATTTTCTTTCTTTTTTTTTTTTTCTTTTTTTAGTTTTATAAGTGAAAGTTTAGTCTTCTAGAAGTGAAATTTTAAGATTTTTTTGAAACTCAAGGCAGTTTAACAATATTTTCTGAGGTATGTATTTTGAACTTGGTATTGAAAATCTTTAGTGTGTCAAGGATAAGGAGAAAATAAGGCTTTATGTTTGAGGCAATGATAAGCAACAATGCAGAGATGGTCAGAAGAGGGGGTGAGGTGGACAACGAGGGTGCTGTGTGCTGAGAATGTTGTGTAAGAAACCAGATTGGGGTGATGACATGGAAGCCTGGCCAGAGAACGTAGAGGGGGTGCTGCAGGTTTTAGTGCAAAGTGGCACCAAGTGGCCCTTTGAGTGGGAAAATGCAGTTATAAAAAATACTGGAATGATCATTATAGCACCTTTTCCTGCTAAAAGGTGAGAGAATCCTTAGAGACTGGAATGGGCTAGTGATCAGTTATTGTTGTGACCGGTTAATGGAACCATATAAATAGAAATAAGAATAGTGGACTAGAAGGGTTAATAGTGAGCAAATTGAGACGAGTGTTAAGACACTGAATTCTTGCACATTTTAGATATTTCATATATCAGTCATGTAGAACTGGAATAAATGTGAGAACTTGATGTTTGTGGTTTTGGTGTATAAAAGGACTGTTAAATTATACACTTTTAAGGAAAGATACAGAACTGGCCCTTAAGCAGCTGATGTTATATAAAATATTCTTGAATATTTGTTGTGTACCTGTCTGTCAGACATGTGTTAGGGGCGAGGTATCTAGCATGTAGGTGAATGTAATTTTATGGCACTTACATTGTAGAGGGCTGAGGATCAAATAAATAATATGTATATATATATAAATACATGTAAAGGATATATGTATACAAGTATATACATGTATATAAAGGACAATGGGAAATTGAAGAAGAATAAAGCTAGGGCAGTGAGGACTGAAAGTAAAAGAGGGATGTTCTAACCAAGTTCACTCTGGGGTTATAACAGTTTTACTGCTCCTTGTCCATTTTGGCCTTTAATGCCTCTGCATAAGTTTGCACCGACAATGTGTCCTTGGTATCCTCTTAACCCGGTGGCCTGGACAGTGTGTGTGTGCAGTACTGCTCTAGCTGGATGTGGAGCGCCGCGGCATGCAGCAGCAGGAGGCTTGGTGTATCTATCTGAACTGCTGCATCTGCATTTTGCAATTTTCTATGCATTTTCTTTTTTAAAAGGACACTGTCAAGTACTTTTAAATGGTTATTTGTAATAAGGACAATTTCCTGCTTATATTTTTGTTTCTATTGACTGGCCGTATTATTCTGTGGAATGGGATGTAAGTTAAAGAGGATTTTTAGTCATTGTCTTAAATGATTGGTATTAGAGCTCTAGGAATGATAAATGCTATTTATTACTATAATTTCTTATCTGTAAGTAGTATCTCATGGGGAGTATTTTTAAATAAATATTTTAAAATAGTGTGTCATTTGAACTTAATGTGTAGTATTGTGGGGACAGTTAACTTCAAAAGCTAATCAGTGTGTTAACTAAGAAATTATTTTTTAGTATACAAGTATATACAACTTGATGCACTTTTAAATATATTTCAAAACGTACAGATTAGCCTTCAGTGTTCCATTAACACTCGAGTAAATTTTAGTCAAACTCCATTTCAGTGGCTTAAAACCTGAGTTGGCTAGTCATTTGTAACTCACTTGTTAATGGAACTACGGTTTTGGTGGTGGTTTCAGTATCCTGGCATGGATGCTAGTATGTGTGGCATTAGTTGTTGTGACCGTGTTTTAAACCAAGCTCCCAAGGATAAATACAGGTTTTGTGCACAATTTCAGACGTTCCAAGTATGCTGTGAACTAAGCTGCCAGGAACAAATGGACCTTTCTCATGTGTTCTAGTCTCTCCTCCCCCCACTCTCACAGCCACACACGTTAAGTGAGTGTGAGATCCCCTCGGTTTTAATTTCCTGTTATACTATGTAGGAATCAGTGGGGTGGATAATTCTTTGCTGACTGAATTTTTAGTTTAAATAACTATATAACTCAAATATATAGATTTGAGAAGTGACTGTCAAAACCATTGGCTGACCACAGATGCTTTGTTGTAGGAGGGCTGACAAATGGTAGTGGTCGCTACATCTCTGCAGCGCCTGGAGCAGAAGCAAAGTATCGAAGTGCTTCGGGCACTTCCAGTCTGTTTAGCTCCAGCAGCCAGCTCTTTCCTCCTTCCCGGCTGCGGTACAATAGGTCTGATATCATGCCTTCGGGCCGAAGCAGACTATTGGAAGACTTCAGAAATAACCGCTTCCCAAACCTTCAACTTAGAGACTTGATCGGACACATAGTTGAGTTTTCTCAAGACCAGCATGGTTCTAGGTAAGTGATAGTGCTTTTTGATACTTTCCACTGTGTTTTTTGTTTTGAAAATGGCTACCTTGTAAAAACCTAAATTTCCTTGACTAGAATCATTTGATCTGCATGAAAGTTGGAAGCTTTTAAAAAATAGATTCCTAGTGTGGATTATATATTGTCCTTTATATTAGGATAAATGATAAAAATGCAGGTTTAAATTTATTAACATTTTCCAGCTTTCTATAATGAGAATTTTAAACAATATTTTATTTATTTTTAGAGAAAGGGGAGAGGGAGAAAAATATTGATGTGTGAGAGAAACATTGATCCATTGCCTCTCACATACCCCCAACCCAGGGACCTGGCCCGCAACGCAGGCATGTGCCCAAACTGGGACTCGAACCAGCACCCCTTGTGTCTGCAGGCCCATGCTCAATCTCATTCCACTGAGCCATACCAGGCAGAGCTGATGATAACTTTTTATAATTAAAATATAGCAGTGCTTTTTATTGGATTATTTTTTATTACATTAACTCTCAATACATTTAACATTTTTAAATATTCCGAATTATGTTTGTGGACTTAAGCATCCCTGGTGTATACATTGTCTTTTTTAAAAAGGTTAAAAATCAGTTGAACGCTTTTGTGTTCTTTTATAGATTTGTATTCGGTGTGCCTTAACATTTGTTACAGAAATATTTGGCGCCTTTGTACATTAAATACATGTACTGTAATGCTTGAACTCGCATTTTCAAGATACAGCATGGGAAGGAAAATAGTAGAATTCTAGCATTTACCAAATTTGAGATACTTTCTTTTTTTGTATTTTTAAGGTAAACCTGAAATTTTAATAAAGTTATTGATAGATAGCTGCATACAAATTTATCTCCCTATGGTTGAAAGTTCTTTTAAGAGTAGCAAATGAACCTTGTGTCACTCAAAAGGGCTAGCCTAAAATGCATAAAGAAAAGGAAAAAGGCTAGCTTACAAGGAATTCAGTTGTGTTGATGAACTTTATTTCTAAGGGTTTTTTTAATTACATTGTAAAAAGATACAGTAATGTTGTATGTATATTATGAAAAATACATGACTAACCAGTAAAAATGTTTGCAGTTTTCTTTTTCATTGATTATAATGCAGTTGGAACTAACTTAAGAAAGATTAAACATCTTTATAGCTGTATTTTTGCCATTCTAAATACTAGTTTTTAAGTTAAGGTATTACAAAAGAAATGCTTCGTAACTTTTGTTCTTTTTATTCTACATTGGCTATCCACAGTAAAGACTGTGTTAAAGCTCTTTTTGGAAATATTGTACTTGTGTGGGTTGGAGGTGTTCGGCATTCAGGTCAGAGAGATTTTGCAGAAGCTTGTTTTCAGTGTCCTGGCATAACGTTGGAAATTCTTCCCACGTAGGTTCATACAGCAGAAACTGGAGAGAGCTACTCCAGCTGAGCGACAGATGGTGTTCAATGAGATTCTACAAGCAGCGTATCAGTTAATGACAGATGTTTTTGGCAACTATGTTATACAAAAGTTTTTTGAGGTGAGCACCAGTTCGAGTTTGTATTCCCTGTCTCTCCACGTATATGCTTAATGCTTAGAAAGGCTCTGGGAGTTGGGAGCGAGTCATTGTTACATAAATATATATGAGCTTTTGGCAGAAATCTTTGCAAATCATATTAAATATAAGTATTATAGCCACAATATTTAAAGAACAACCAAAACTCAAATAGACAACCCAGTTAAAAAGTGGACAAAGGACTCGAATAGATATTTTTCCATAGAAGATATACAAATGGCCAACAAGCACATGAAAAGAAGCCCAACATCCATAGTTATTAGGGAAATGCAAGTCAAACCACAGTGAGATTTCACTTTATGTTTATTAGGATGACTGCGATACAAATAAAGTAAAATAAATGGCAGAGATGTGAAGAAGTTGGAACCTTGGTGTTTTGCTGGTGGGGAATGTAAAATGTGTCAGCTGCTATATATAGAAAAAGAATGTGGCAGTTTCTCAAAAACTGAACAGAAAGTTACTGTGCAGTGCCGCAGGTTCACCCCTAGGTATGGACAGGACAGGGCAAAGTCGGTTCACTGTTGTGAGTACAGAAAACACAGTTTATCCTTATACTATTATTATGGTATTTCATGTGAACAACTATATGTCTACTTTTGTCCCACCCTATAGATACCCAAAAGAATTAAAAACAGGGACTCAAATGCGAAAATGTTCATTTTCAGCGTTATACAGGGTAGCCAAAAGGTAGAAACAACCCAGATGTCCAACAGATAAATGAATAAACGACATAGGGTATATATACGCAATAGAATATTATTCAGCCATAGAAAGGGATGGTGTTCTGATACATACTACAGCACACATGAAGCGTAAGTGAAATAAGTCAGATGCATACGGACATTGTAGGGTTCCGTCTGTGAAATAATCTCGAACAGGCAGATTCACGGAGACGTGGAGTAGAGCAGGGTGTACTGGGGGGGGGGCACAGCGTTACTGCGCCATGCACAGCGTTTCTGGTGGGAGCAGAGAACACGTTAGAAACAGACTGCTTGGTGGTTGCTTAGCAGTGTGGGTAGAATTAATTCCACGAAGTTACACACTCGAAATGGTTAAAGTGACGTTACGTACAGGGTCTAACACAAACGATGTCCCTCTTTTGTTAGAAACAGAAATTTTATTACAAAATTGTAAGCATGTAATTCTGTAACATAACAATATTACACTTAAGCGCACCATTGACATTTTGGGGGAAATGTTCAAATTACTGTCTGTCTCGTGCTAGACATTCATGTACCACACCAACCACACTCAGCGGTGTTATTTCTGCCAGACGCTACATTTTATCACAGAAGGTTTTTTATTAAAGTATTGATGTGCAATATTGCACAACAATGATTCAACATTTATGTACCTTATGAATCACGAAAATGCTTTTAAAAGCATGGGCCTACATTAAAAGGGAAGGTGAATAGTAATCCTGATTAATATCTGAAAATAGAAAGCATTGAGAGTAAGTCTTAGGTGAAGCAGGACATAGCGATGTAGTCTTTATTTGGATTTTGTAGGTGTCTTTTTTTTTTTTTGCAACTGACCTAATAATCTATAACTAAACATCTGTGTTACATAATTTATGCCAAAATGTGGTTGAAAGTTATCTGAATGTATGGCTCAGATTCATTATAATAAAGATGGGAGTAGTTTGTTTGAAATGAAAAATGAAGATATGTTAGTAACAAGGAAATTTTTGATGATGTAACTGGACCCCAAAGGTAGTAACACGTGATCATTTTAAGTATCTGTGGATTTGCCTTAATTAGCTTTTACCTACATGCCTCCTTTCTGCATAATTCCTAAATGTGATATTTTAAAATTTGATTCAGTAGACTGCAAATGGGGGGTTATTCAAGTTTAACGAAGTAACATGGTCACTTTTCAGTAATATTATTTTCTCCTCTGTCAGTTTGGGAGTTTGGATCAAAAATTAGCCCTGGCTACTCGTATTCGTGGTCACGTTCTACCCTTAGCCTTGCAGATGTATGGCTGCCGTGTTATTCAGAAAGCATTAGAGTCTATTTCATCTGACCAGCAGGTAATTGTAAGTTAAGACAAAATTTTTGTACTACTTTATTCTTTTTTATCTCACAATAATCTTGGAGTGAAATATTAAATGATTCCACAGTTAGATAAAAAAGGTTTTTTACATCTCTCTCAAACAGTAAATTATTAATTAAAAGTTACACAACAGATCTTTGTTTAGTCTTCATTCTCTTCATCTTTTCATCTCTAAATGAAGATATTTGAGTATTTACGATGTGGCAAGGAAAGGGCTAAATTATGGTTTTTAAAAAAGCAAATAAATTTGCTTGTTTGACTTGCCATCATATAGGAAATACATCTTACTGTTTTCAGTGTTTATTTGGACTATACTTACATTTCTTTCATAAGAATGAAATTTTAAAAAGCAATTATAAACTGCTTAAAAGCAATTTATATATAAAGTTTTTAAAAATTTCAACAGGAAAAATAACCTAAGAATTCTTCTAACAAGATTTACAGTTCCTTAAGAGAGAGAAAAGAAAATACATATACATTAAATGGGAAATATACTCTGTTCTTGGAAAAGTCTAAATATTTTAGGTTAAGGGATTAATGCAATGTGAATCACATACTTGTAGGAATTTCCCTTTTAACTGATGAAAATAACATTTAAAATTTTTTAATTGATAAGAATATTAAGGAGAGAAGGGTGAGAATAAACGCTGATGTGCCAGATTTTTAAACTGAAGCATCACTAATTACATGGTTCTCGTTTGAGATAAACAGGTTACTAAAATGATATTCATAACCCCAGCTACTGTTTTGTATCTGTCTGGGTTAAGTAATACAGTGAAACATAATAAGGATAAGAAAGTAAGTATTTTATTAAAAGATATTCTCGCCCCAGCTAATGTGGCTCAGTGGATTGAGCGCCAGCCAACAAACTTAAAGGTCACTGGTTCGAATCCCGGACAGGGACATGCCAGATGTTTCCTGTTGGAGGCATGTGAGAGGCAACCAATAGACGTTTCTCTCCCTCTCTTCCTCCCTCCCAATCTATCTCTCTAAAAAATAAATACATTTAAAAAAATGCATTCTTAATTAGTAAGTTTAGAAAGAGATCAGCTTTGACTCTCAACCCACATACATACAATGAAGTATATTTCAGAGTTAAAAGCAATAAAAACAGCCCTGGCTGGTGTGGCTCAGTGGGTTGAGTGCTCGCCTGCGGTCCAAAAGGTTGCTGGTTTGAATCCTGGTCAGGGCACATGCCTGGGTTGCAAGCCAGGTCCCCAGTTAGGGGCATGTGGGAGGCAACCTAGAGGTATCCGATCACTCTCACGTTGTTTCTCTGCTCTTTCTCTGTCCCTTCTCTCTCTAAAATAAGTAATATCTTTTTAAAAGCAGTAGGAATATATGGATGGGGTTGTGTGTAGCATTCGTCACAGCATTGAAAATCTGTGAGAACATTTCTCTGGAGGAAATTCTGAGTAATTGAAGTTATATCACAATAGAGAAAAATCAACAGATTTAATTATGTAGTCAAGCTTAGACCTTTTCTGCTTTCTCAAAGTGGTGTAGACAATTTAATGATCTCTTACATTTCTTTAACATTTGAAAATACAAAGCACTTAGGAGTGTTAGATGAACCAGTTCATGAATGATGGTATTATGTCATCTGTCTGGATTCTTGAATACATTTTATTCTGTAATTTCATGTACAAGCAAACATCTGCTATGTCCCAACAGGGCTCCTATGTAATTATGCAGGAACGTAGGTAAGTTCTTTAGGTGAGAGAGGTTTGAAATGTGAACGCTGTTACACTGTTGTGTACTCCGTTTCTTCACAGTACTTTTCACCGTTGCACTGGTGAGGCACATGAATTATTTTGTGGCTACCTGTATTTATCCCAAAGGAATAAGATGTGTATTTAACAAATTCTTACAAATTTATGAGAAAAAATATTAAGAGCAGTAGCTTTAAAAAGTATGCAATTAGTAAATAAACTTGCTGAAAATGTTTAACCTTATTAGTAATCAGTTGAAAGGCATAACAGGATTATAAAAAATAAATCTCCCAAGAATCTGTTTGTAAAAAAGGTATTATTAAATGTAATAAATAAAAGTCACATTCAAGCAAACTGTAGGAAGAATTAAAAAGTCCAATGATAATTTCTTTTCATAATTGAGATAATATGGGAAAATCACATATCCCATAAGAGCTCAGTTTCTTATCCTTTTCCATGCATTTGGACTCATGCAGTCATTTAGAAGAATAATTTGGTCCTGCCTAGTGTGGCTCAGTGGCTTGAGTGCTGACCTGCTAACCGAAAAGTCTCGTTCAATTTCCAGTCCCAGGGCAATGGCTGGGTTGTGGGCCGGACCCTAGTGGGGAGCGTTTGAGAAGCAATACACCAGTTGGTATATCTCTCTCACATTGCTGTTTCTCCCCCTCTCTTCTCTCCTTTTCCCTCTCTCTAAAAGTAATTAAATAAAATCTTGAAAATTAAAAAATATATATTATTTGCGGGGAGGGCGATGCCAAGTACAGAAAAAGTTCTGAATCAGTTATGTTAGTTGTCAGCTGAGAATAAGGGTAAGGAAGATGTACACAGCAAGGATAGGATAGTAGTTTAAATATCCAATTCCTCACTAAGGTATAGTTCAGCAAGTACCATTTACATTATAATCTAGGAATATGTTTTAGTAATTGTCACCTTCATTGGCTTTTTTTCTGATTATACTCTGGGGGCAGGATTTTAAACTTCAGTACATAAAAGAAATCACAAATAAAATTTTGAATGTATTTTTGTTCTCATTGCAGTTATTTTTAATCCTGTTACATTGTTTGATTAGGCAGTTATTTAACTGTCAGCTTCTCTTTTGCAGAGTGAAATGGTGAAGGAGCTGGATGGCCATGTACTCAAATGTGTGAAAGATCAGAATGGGAATCATGTTGTACAAAAGTGTATTGAATGTGTACAGCCACAGTCCCTACAGTTCATCATTGATGCGTTCAAAGGACAAGTAAGATTTGGGGGGCTTCCGTCTAGTTCTCAAGGATTTACTACTATTTTAGATTTCGAGTATTAACACATTTTTCATAGAAAAAGAGACAAAATAGTGAATGCACGTTCATATCCGCCTCTTTTTAGAGTGAGTCTACAGCTTTATTTTTTTGAAGCTGAGAAGTAGAAATATGAATTTAATTATATTACTTTAAGAAGTAAGATAACCTTTGTTAGAATTATAAACCCAACATTTTCCAAATTTCTTGGGATAGGAGGGAGAAAGACTTAAAACTGTACAATAAAAGACATGGTAAATATTAGTCACTGATGCACAATAATTAATAGTTCCTAATTACAGTGTGCACTGTCTCCACCCCACAGTCCGTTTCTTCTCATTATTATATGCCCTCCATCTTAGGTGCCTTTTAATCAAAATACCTGTTAACCCCTAAGTTGAGCACCCTGTGGTGGTTAAATGTGAGCTCCCTACCCCTCCAGCTTAAATTAATTCAGCCATCAGAAACCTGTCTGGATGACAGGTCTTCCCAAAATGCCAGAATGGACATTTCCCTCTTCCCATTGTTTTAAGGTGTTCGTACTTTCAACTCACCCTTACGGCTGCAGAGTCATCCAGCGCATCCTGGAGCACTGCACTGCGGAGCAGACCTTGCCGGTCTTGGAGGAGCTCCACCAACACACAGAGCAGCTGGTGCAGGTACAGACTCCCGAAGACTTCCAGATGTGTGTGTGTTTTTTTGGAAGTGGTTCTGGTGTTTTTTGGAAATGAGTTTTAAAAATTAGGACACTATAGAGACACAGCAAGGCAAAAACCCTACATCTTTTTAAAGAATAATCATTATTCATAAGGAACAACTTCAGGAAAATAATTTTTTAATATCTGTACTTAGGATCAGTATGGCAATTATGTTATTCAGCATGTACTGGAGCATGGTCGACCTGAAGACAAGAGCAAAATCGTTTCGGAAATCAGAGGAAAGGTCTTAGCCCTGAGTCAGCACAAATTTGCCAGGTATTGCAGCATTTTCTAATCCTATGGATCTGTTCCCCCAACTCTTTGGCTTTTATTAGTAAGCAAAGCTATGCATATAGAATGTAGCATTGGCATATAATCTTTTAAAAATATTTATTTATTTTTGGAGAGGGGGAAGGGAAGGAGAAAGAGTGGGACAGAAACATCAATGTGTGGTTCCCTCTCATGTGTCCCCTGCTGGGAACTGACCTGCAACCCAGGCATGTGCCCTGACTGGGAATCGAACTAGTGACCCTTTGCTTCACAGGCCCATGCTCAATCCACTGAGCTACACCAGCCAGGGCGGCATATAATCTTTACTAGAGCCAAAAAGCATATATAGAACATTGCTTTTATTCTTAAAGAATCTATATAACAAATTGGTTTGTCCACATGTTCTATTTTTTTTTAATATTTATTTATTTTTAGACAGAGGGGAAAGGTGGAAGAAAGAGGGAAATATCGGTATGTGGTTGCCTCTCATGTGCCCTCTACTAGGGACCTGGCCTGCAACCCAGGCTTACGCTCCAACTGGGAATCGAACAGGTGACCCCCTGGTTCACAGGCCAGCGCTCAATCCACTTAGCCACACCAGCCAGGGCTACATGTTCTATTTTTGAAGTCTGTAGTTAGAAAATTATTTGTCCCTAAGACCTGTAAATGCAAATTTAATTAATGCATGTTTGTGAAAGTCTCAGGTCTTATTAATGACCTAGTTTCTGCTTTTAAAAATGACAGCTTTTATTATAGTTTAATTGTAATTTTAAGAGGCCTATAATTAAACTTGTGGAAGTCCAATATGAGTTCTCCTATGATATTTGTTTCCGTTTTAAAAGTAACTTGTAGAGATGAACCCTGACAGGGGTGTAGGTAGCTCAGTTGGTTAGAACTACATCCCAGTCCTCAGGGTTTGCGGTCTACTCCCCAGTTGGGGCCCATGGAAGGACCAGCCAGTGGCGCATCAAGTGCAACCGCAAGTCTGTGTTTCTCTCTCTCTCTCCCTGTCAAAATCAGTAAATAAGAATTTTTAACAAAAAGTAATTGTAGGGAATTGTAAGAGACCCATCTTGATTCTTTTGCCTTCTATTGTGTTGAGCAAGTTCTTTCAAAAGTCAAAGAAATGTTGCTATAAAGAAAAAGTTACGGTATAATTCCTTTTGTCTGTACTTTTCAGCAATGTGGTAGAAAAGTGTGTCACTCATGCCTCCCGTGCTGAGAGGGCTTTACTGATTGATGAAGTCTGCTGCCAGAACGACGGTCCTCACAGTGCCTTATACACCATGATGAAGGACCAGTACGCCAACTATGTGATTCAGAAAATGATCGATGTGGCTGAACCTGCTCAGAGGAAGATAATCATGCACAAGGTAAATACATTTTACAGCACTTAAAGCAGTTGGCTCAGTTTGTGTGACTTTAGGCTACATATCTCATTTCCTTAGGCCTTAATTTTTTTCATACATGTTATACTAGGGAACAAATCTAAAATGAATGGGTAACTTTGGCAGATGTCGGTGTGGTGTACCCTTCAATTCTCAAGGTAATCTGCACAATAAAATCACATTCATTTCTCATGTATTTATCTACCTTTAACATATTTTCCCTTCTCCATCTTATCTAGCTATACTTGATTTCCCATGTTACATGGGTCAAACGTTGATTTTTTTTTTTAAGGTTTTATTTATTCATCTTTAGAGGGGAAAGAAAGGAGAGAGAAACATCAGTGTATGGTTGCCTCTCGTGGGTCCCCTGCTGGGAACTGGCCTGCAACCCAGGCATGTGCCCTGACTGGGAATGGAACTGCGATCCTTTGGTTCGCAGGCCCTCATTCAATCCACTGAGCTACACCAGCCAGGGCCAACGTTGATTTTAAATAATAGGCTAGTTATGGTTCCTGCGGTGCGGGCGGCCCCTTTGCTGTGTGCCCGTTAATAGTTCACGAATCCTGGTTTGCTTATTAGTCTCTGAACAATTGTGAGAGTAGAAGTATGGGCCAATGGCATGGAACAGAGCTGTGGTCGTGAACGGCTTTGCTTTGGGTTTGAATTTGCAATTTCCAGTTACTGTTCTCAGTTACCCAGGTGCAGGGTGCTTTTTTAAGAAATCAGAAACTAAGGTAACTTAGATTCCTAAGCAGATTATTTCTTTTTCAGATTCGACCTCACATTACTACTTTGCGCAAGTACACCTACGGGAAGCATATACTGGCCAAGTTGGAAAAATATTATCTGAAAAACAGCCCAGACCTGGGCCCCATTGGAGGACCACCAAACGGAATGCTGTAAAGGAGGAGGGGAGAGGAGAGAGTGATCGTGTGAAAGGAACGCTTATTTTGTGAATTATCAAAACACAACTCAACTATGAACCTTCAAAAAAATTTTTTTTAAGCAAAACTATTTATTGACTTTACTCATCCATTTGTAAATTTTTTAAGGTTCTTGTGTATATTTGGGGGGTGGGAGTGGTGAATTATAAATTATATTTCGCCCCAAGTGGAGACCTATCAGATTGGATTGCTGGCAAAGCACAGGATGCCTGTATATGATGTACCTGTATGAGAAAAAGCTGTCACATATTTTGTAAATTTTTACCTTGTAAAGTCACAAAAATAGTTTTTAAAGGAAAAAGTACAGTATTCTTTTAATAAACTGGCTTGCAGTCTGGTAGGTCTACAGACCCCATAGCACACCAGGTTTATAGAGATGTATATAGGAAAAGAGTCTTTTTTTGTCCTTTGTGTGAAGCTTTTTATAACAGATTAACAATCAACTACATAAATATTATTAATATTTTAAAAAGAAAGTTAAGTTGTATTTTGGTAATTCACAAACTATCATGCAAATAAAACTGAGCAAGTAAGACAAGAATTAAATGATTTGCAATGAAAGAACTTACATTATTTGCAGTGGATGAGATTTTAATACAGATACTGCCCCGAGACGTCTCTGGCATGTACAGAAGCATTGTATATACTTACAGATGTCGTTGTCGTGAGAGGTAGGAAAACAATCATGGTGACACTTGATTTGGCGAAGTGTGCGGACAGAGAGTTAACGCCCACTTTAACTTTTCTGTTCAGTGTGAGGTGAGCAAGTGGAGATTTGTATATTGTTTTGCTTACAGAATTACACGGACATGATGAGGAAGTGTTGAGCTTTATTTTGCTTTTTCATAGTAGATTCATGAAGTAGGAACCAGATAGAGGTGAACAGGGGGCCACTGAAGCGTGAATTTGATAGCTCAGCATTTAAGCATGATTACATACTCAGATAGCTTTTTTTGCTTCCTATAAATATATGCATTGTGTGTGTAGTAATAGGTGGTAAGTTCACACTTTGAAAGCCAATCTCGTTTCGGTGTTTATTATAAAAACCTTGCTAATTTAGTAGTGATGCTTTCCTTGGTTGTACAGGTGTACATTTGTAAACCTTCATTCTGTAAATGGAGTTTGTTTTATCTCTTTGGGATACCTTTGCATTTTAGTGTACATTGACGTCCCTGCCCTCTCTGACCTGGCATATATGTTGTATACTGTAAATTTATTTCTCCCAATCAAGAGTGATTTTTTAAAAGTTTTTTATCTTTATATGGTTTCAGAAGTATGACCCACCTTTCTTTTTATTGTGAGAAACATTTTGTTTTATAACATAATTGACTCTGTTAATACAGACATGCTAGGATTTGGATCACTTTCAAGAAGTCAGGGTATTATGCATAATAGAAAGTATTGGACTGAGATATTTGGTTACCATGGAGGCCAATGCTTTTTCCATCTTATTAAATGTGATGTGACTTTTTTCTTTGTACAGAAGAGTACTGTATTTTTGGATAGCCTACTCCCAAGTAAGAGCAAATCTGTATGATAACATTTTTTTCTCTGGACATAAGACATAACAGTAACATGATGTACATTTACAAGCGGCCTTATGTACATTTCCCAGCAATCTTTTTAAGGCAAAATTGTGACCATATATGTATAATTAAAATCGTTTTTAATCCTTTGCCTATGAAAATATTTTGGAAAAAAACTTGCTTTGTATATTCAGTTTCTGAAAGATAAAGAAAGTGCTTTGTATTTTGTTGAAGTCAGTATTTTGTATAAAACATTTATGTTGACCCACTTATGTTTAGTGCTGAAAACTGATGAACCATGTTATCTCTTCAGATTGAACATGTAAGGGATTTGTTAGAAATCTGCAGAAGAGAAGCGAGCTTCTGAGCACAATATTAAATATGTAGGTTTTATCACTTAGCTGCTCATATCACAACCCTAAAAATAATGGCATAAAGTTTGGAGTGCCAGGCATACTTTTTTCTATTTGATGCTGAGTTACTCTCCTTTTTTAACCCAACATTCCATGATGAGGCCATTAAATTCAACCACTTGTCACTGTCACTTCTCATAGTCACACTGGTTCCTCAACACATCCCAGTCGCAGAAGCAGTGCTTTCCCGCACTTGAAGGCTCTCTCTTCTCCCCTCCTCTGCCTTTTTTTTTTTTTTTTTTTGCCAACCTCTGAGTGTCTTTGCCCTGTGTCAGACTTTTGTTCCCAGCATCAATCAGCTCCTAGCTTCAGGATCAAAGTTGTCCTTGTGTAAGATTGGTGGGGACTTTCCTGGATTTGCACAATTGAATTCCTGGTTTTCCTTCAGTCCTTAGCTTCTGTTGGCACCAGCAGTAATCTGCACATTTGCAAGTCTGAGAGGATAGCACAGTGGGAAACTGAGTCCCCTTCCGGGGTCCTGATGCTACAACCCGGTCATCCCAACACTGCGGGGCCTATTCTAGAAAAAGACGTGTTACTGGAGACCTTTTATGGCCTGCCACTCTCAGTGCCCACCTCCAATTTCCCCTTTTAACCACTTGGCGGGGGGTTTCGGTAACAACCCAGAAATGGCATTTCAGAAGAAAGGGACTTGACTGGGCAGGACCACTTGGCTCTGCTCTTGAGCGTCTCCTTTCGACGTGGATTGTTTCTGGACCAGTTTGTCGAAGTCCTGGCTCTTATTGGTTCATATGAAATAATGTTACCTTCACTTCTTTGTATATTATGTATAAATTAGACAATGAAAACTGTGTGAATAACATTGTATGAAATAAATCTGGTCTTGTGTTTTTCTCTAGATAAATACCCCTTCGTACCTCAGTTATAATTCAGGTTGCCCATTCAAGTTTACTCTGACTTAAGAAAAACAAAAATATCTTTCTCACATAGACACTAGCCTAGGTCCATGGATTATACTGACGATTAATCCTACCTTTTGGTTAATTTAAGGATTTCTGGCTAATCCTTAAATTATATAGGGTGATTACATACTTCTATGTAATAGAAGCCAGGGCTGTTTCCTTATCAATAACATGATTTCAAGGGGTCTTTGAGCGTTGAACCAAATCCTTTATCTTGACTGGCAGGTATCTGCTTCCATCCACCTGTGTGCCCTTCAGGGAACAGTGTTGTTTAAAGAAAAGTAGTTTTGGGTTGAGGCATGGGTTTAGTTTTACCTCCTTATTTACAAAGCTTGTGAATTTGGGTGTGTGAGAGATCTAAGTTAAGGGCCTGCTTTCCACCTTACCATGGGGTAGTGAGATTTTTTAATCCTCAGTGATGTTAAGAATTTCAAGAATTGAGAATATGTAAATATACCTAGAGCCTAATCCACAACTAAGGCTAACACTTTTCATTTTCCTGTCCCTTCCGTAACCATATAAAATAAAAGTCACAGATAATTTGATAGCATCCAAAATGGAGATTATATGAAAACTAAGCAGGAAAAGGAATTCTTACTGTATACATTTTTCACCTTCAATTTTAATTTTATTTTGGTTTGTTTCTATTGGGAGCTGAAGTCAACTGGTCTGGAATTGTTGACGTACCCACTTTCTGGTGAAAAAGACTGTCAAAGGGGTGTCTATGATATCCTCCCGCTCTCCCTTTGCAACCTAAGGACAAGGGACCTGGGCGGTCTGTTCGTCCCCACGACTGGTTTCTCAGGAAGGTGAGTAGAGCAGGTAGGGGGATGCAGAGAGACCGCCAAGGAGCAGCAGTCACCGCCCGCCGTGCTTACCTGGCTGAAACAGGGCTGGACTTTGCAACAGCTCAGGCTTCCCAGGCCCACAACTCGTCTAGGAAGGCCACGGAGAGGGAGGGAGGGGAGTTCTGGGGCGCACCAGGCTCGCTTCCTAAGGGCTGCAGGGGGCCTCAAGCCCCAGCGAAGGAGGAGGTTGGGCCCTGAGGAACGTGGGCCCTGTGATCCTGGGCAGAGTGCACCCTCCAGGCCTCAGTGACTACAGAGGAGGAATAATGCCCTCGCTGCCCCGGAACATCGGGGCCGAGGGCCACTTGATGCTAAGCACCAAACAACTACATGGTTGTACAGAGCAGTTTCTGTTGAACGCCACCTCCAAATTCTGTAAACAACTTGGTTTGATGGTCCAGGCATACAAAACTTTTTTACCAGGGTCCTCAACCAAATGAGGGTGCCCTGTGTTCTACTTGGTAGTTGAAGAAATTGCCTTGATTAATATTAGTTCAAATGTTCTCAGACATCAGTGTGGTGGATTGGTCTGCTGTCTAGAATTAGGCTGCCCAGGTTCCAAGCTCTTTAGCTTTTACATCATCAGTTGTGTCTTTGAAGCCTTGGTTTCCTTACGGTGCAGGTAAGGGAAATGGCAACTCTCCTAAAACGGAGGATTAAGTGAAGATACACGTGAGGCGGGGTGGGGAGGGGCGGTGAGTACTCTGACTCCTGTAGTATGTTAACTAAAACTTACTTTTAATTTGCCTACATAGCCTCAAAATGTGGTTTAGCTCATTTATGTTTCTGCAAATGAGCTCCTGATTAAGGTTGCAGATAAAGCATCAAATCACTAGGGAAGCTATTGAAGATACAATTAGCTGGACAGCATGTTAATACTTTTCTTGGTACTAAACAAGTAACGGGCTTGGCTTTGAGGTGTGTGGCCACCAGGAGACGTGAGGAAGCGGAAGGCAGCGTGTGCAGGCACGCACACACCGCCAGGAAGCTGGTGAGACTCGGGAGCCGCTGAGACCGTGGGACAGACAGACTGTGGTTCAGGACCGTCCACTGATCTCTGCCACTCCTCAAACCCAGCCCTTGCCTCGTTTTTTCCCGAGCACTTGGAGAGCCTCCTTTTCTGTGGTTACACTTTGGTGAGAGGGGAGGTCCCCCAACAGAGCGATGTTTTTGCCAAGTGCTTGTTTGCCAAACGACCCTCATGGATCGTTGGTAGGTGTCTGCTTTGAGGGTCGAGCCATAGTGATAGCCAAGTGGGCAAAAGCCACTGGTGCGCAGTGTGAGGCTCATGTGGAGGGAGCCGCCAGTTTGGCTTAGAGCAGGGAGCAGTGTCGGGAGGAGGCGTCTACTGGCCTTCCGCTCTGTTTCCTCTCGGCATCGGCCTGGACGACCAAGAGAAGGCACAGTGTGAGCAGTGGGTCCTTAGAAACCAGAAACCCAGAGGGTCTCAGCCCTTCACAGCTGTCACCAGATGCCCCAGTCAGACTCTGAAGAAGATAGGAAACTGCCCTGTGACTCCTGGGCGTGGCCGTCTCTGACTCCCTGGCAGGTGAAGGGCTGCTGGAGAAGGTCGGGAGACCTAGATCATGACCAGAGACAGCCTACGGAAATGGTGGTAACAAGTGGGACGGGAGGTTTACAGAAATTTTTTCATTGAGGTATAACTGACATTTAACATTATATATACTTCAGCTGTAAAAAATGATCTGCTGTGTGTACAGGGGCAGGCCAAGTTACGTTTGCAATGAATAATACCACAAGAACAGACTTGCATAGTCAAACTATAAACCTACTTTTGCCTATCCCTGTATTGCAAAATGACCACTACAGTAAGTTTAGTTACCTATGATCACACAGGTAACAAAAGCCTTATGATAAGTACTTTAAAGATAAACTCTCAACTTGCAGATGATTACAGTACAGTCTTGTTAACCACAGTCACCAAGCTGTGAGCTGTCATTTTAGGGCAATGACACTGGTCTGCACGATACCGTCGGGGTGCACACGTGACATAGGTGTGTCCAGACCCAGGGACTACAACACGAAGCTGAGTGTAAGTTCCAAACTTCAGGCAATGATGTCTTGCTGAGGTCCATCAGCTGTGACGGAGGTACGGTCCCAAGGCAACATACAAACAATAGAGGAAAATGGGCGGCAGGGGAAGGGGAGTACACCTGGCAGCTCCCTACTTTCTCCTCGAGTTTTCTGTAAACCCACAGTGCTCTTTTAAAAAAATTATTAATTGGGGAGAAAAGGAGAGAGGGAAAGAAAGCCGCCCTCCACACAGGGCCAGGTTCACGGTGGGCTCTCAGCCAACACAAGCCAGTGCACTTCAGGGCTGTGCAGTCTCTGGGCCTCAGACCCCCACAGGGCCAAAGGGGTGGTGGATAAGCCGGAAAGCGCACACTTGACAAATGGTGGCTCCAGCTGGTCCTTCCCACAAAGGGATGTGTGTCCAGCGTTACTAGCACCTGTGATTCTACTGGAAAATTAGAAACCTGGAGTCTTGGGGTAACTCCCGTATGGTAACCTCCTTTTTTAAACACTGTGAGGGTGATGTCCACAGGCTGAGTGCAGCCGTGGGGCTGTCGGTTTGCAACTCTGCCTAGTGTACCCAGTCCCAGTCGTGGAATGCAGTCAGCTTCCGGCTGTGGAGTCGATTTGCAGGCGTACCCTGGGGCTGGAGGCGAGCCCGCCGGGTGTGTGTGTGTGTGTGTGTGTGTGCGCGTGTGTGTGGGCATGCACACATGTGCCACACACAGGTGCCTGCTGGCTGCTGTGAGCTCAGGAACCCCTTCAGAGCCCACTCAAGTCCTCCCCTGGGAGGCTTGAGAATGCCTGACTTTTTAGGATTATTCCTACCCACCCAGTCAGCTGGCAGGTAAAGTGCTAAATGTTCATTATTTCATTGAATCTCCATAGTCTGAGTTCAGAATGCTTCAGGAACTTGCCCCAGGTTGGGTGGGAGAGGGCTGTAGAGCTGAGGTTCAAGTCCAAGTCTGCCCCTCTCAGTCCCAGAGGCACACCTCCAACCTCACT